CTTGTAAATATGTAATAAAATAAATATTTCACCTGCATTTAGGGGCACTGCCTATATACCTTAAAGTCCTTATTATTTTGGGTAAAAGAAGTAACAATGTGTTTTATGAATGCGTACTACAATATCATGGAGTTTTAGAAATACCAGAAATAAAAACGACTCTTATTACTTGTTGTACCTTGGGAAATACGAAGCAAAACGAATGAATGAATGTGCGTGCCACAATACCCAATGCCTTCCTTCTGCCACAAAATCCAACAAAATGCCTTCCCTCTGCCACAACATGGCCTCTTCCCTCTGCCACAACATGAGCACATCATCAACTGCCTTCCCTCTGCCACATCATCAACTGCCTTCCCTCTGCCACATCATCAACTGCCTTCCCTCTGCCACATCATCAACTGCCTTCCCTCTGCCACATCATCAACTGCCTTCCCTCTGCCACATCATCAACTGCCTTCCCTCTGCCACATCATCAACTGCCTTCCCTCTGCCACATCAACTGCCTTCCCTCTGCCACATCATCAACTGCCTTCCCTCTGCCACATCATCAACTGCCTTCCCTCTGCCACATCATCAACTGCCTTCCCTCTGCCACATCATCAACTGCCTTCCCTCTGCCACATCATCAACTGCCTTCCCTCTGCCACATGCCTTCCCTCTGCCACATCATGCCTGCCTGCCACATCTCAACTGCCTTCCCTGCCACACGCCTGCCCCCCCTCTGCCACAACATGAGCCTGCCTCCCTCTGCCAGCCTGCCACAGCCTGCCACATGCACAACATGCCTTCCCTCTGCCACGACATGAGCCTGCCTTCCCTCTGCCACGACATAAGCCTGCCTTCCCTCTGCCACAATATGAGCCTGCCTTCTCTCTGCCACAACATCCACTGCCTTCCCTCTGCCACACATGAGCCTGCCTTCCCTCTGCACACATGAGCCTGCCTTCCCTCTGCCATAACATGAGCCTGCCTTCCTCTGCCACATGCCTTCCCTCTGCCACAACATCCTGCCTTCCCTCTGCCACAACATCCCTGCCTTCCCTCTGCCACAACATGAGCCTGCCTTCCCTCTGCCACAACATGAGCCTGCCTGCCTGACAACTGCCTGCCTTCCCTCTGCCACAACATGTGCCTTCCCTCTGCCACAACATGCCAACTGCCTGCCACAACATGAACCTGCCTTCCCTCTGCCACAACATGAACCTGCCCCTCTGCCACAACACCACAACAGTGCCTTCCCTCTGCCACAACATGCCTTCCCTCTGCCAACATGCCTGCCTTCCCTCTGCCAACATGAGCCTGCCTTCCCTCTGCCACAACATGAGCCTGCCTTCCCTCTGCCACACATGAGCCTGCCTTCCCTCTGCCACAACATGAGCCTGCCTTCCCTCTGCCACAACATGAGCCTGCCTTCCCTCTGCCACAACATGAGCCTGCCTTCCCTCTGCCAACAACATGAGCCTTCCTTGCCACAACATGAACCTGCCTTCCCTCTGCCAACATCCTGCCCTCTGCCACAACATGAGCCTGCTGCCAACATCCTGCCTTCCCTCTGCCACAACATGAGCCTGCCTTCCCTCTGCCACAACATGAGCCTGCCTTCCCTCTGCCACAACATGAGCCTGCCTTCCTCTGCCACAACATGAGCCTGCCTTCCCTCTGCCACAACATGAGCCTGCCTTCCCTCTGCCAACATGAACCTGCCTTCCTCTGCCATGCCTGCCTTCCCTCTGCCACAACATGAACCTGCCTTCCCTCTGCCTTCCCTCTGCCACAACATGAACCTGCCTTCCCTCTGCCACAACATGAGCCTGCCTTCCCTCTGCCACATGAGCCTGCCTTCCCTCTGCCACAACATGAGCCTGCCTTCCCTCTGCCACATGAACCTGCCTTCCCTCTGCCACAACACCTGCCTTCCCTCTGCGCCTGCCTTCCCTCTGCAACAACATGAGCCTGCCTTCCCTCTGCCACAACATGAGCCTGCCTTCCCTCTGCAACAACATGAGCCTGCCTTCCCTCTGCCAACATGCCTTCCCTCTGCCACAACATGTGCCTGCCTTCCCTCTGCCACAACATGAACCTGCCTTCCCTCTGCAACAACATGAACCTGCCTTCCCTCTGCCACAACATGAACCTGCCTTCCCTCTGCCACAACATGAACCTGCCTTCCCTCTGCCACAACATGAACCTGCCTTCCTTCTGCCACATGAGCCTGCCTTCCCCACACTGCCTTCCCTCTGCCACAACATGAACCTGCCTTCCCTCTGCCACAACATGAACCTGCCTTCCCTCTGCCACAACATGAACCTGCCTTCCCTCTGCCACAACATGAGCCTGCCTTCCCTCTGCCACAACATGTGCCTTCCCTCTGCCAACAACATGAGCCTGCCTTCCCTCTGCAACAACATGAGCCTGCCTTCCCTCTGCCACACCTGCCTTCCCTCTGCCACAACATGAGCCTGCCTTCCCTCTGCCACAACATGACTGCCACAACATGATGCCTTCCCTCTGCCACAACATGAACCTGCCTTCCCTCTGCCACAACATGAACCTGCCTTCCCTCTGCCAACATGTGCCTGCCTTCCCTCTGCCACAACATGAGCCTGCCTTCCCTCTGCAACAACATGAACCTGCCTTCCCTCTGCCACAACATGAGCCTGCCTTCCCTCTGCCACAACATGAGCCTGCCTTCCCTCTGCCACAACATGAGCCTGCCTTCCCTCTGCCACACATGAGCCTGCCTTCCCTCTGCCACAACATGAGCCTGCCTTCCCTCTGCAACAACATGAACCTGCCTTCCCTCTGCCATGAACCTGCAACAACATGAACCTGCCTTCCCTCTTGGCCACAACATGAACCTGCCTTCCCTCTGCCACAACATGAGCCTGCCTTCCCTCTGCCACATGAACCTGCCTTCCCTCTGCCACAACATGAGCCTGCCTTCCCTCTGCCACAACATGAACCTGCCTTCCCTCTGCCACAACATGAACCTGCCTTCCCTCTGCAACAACATGAGCCTGCCTTCCCTCTGCCAACATGAGCCTGCCTTCCCTCTGCAACATGAGCCTGCCTTCCCTCTGCAACAACATGAGCCTGCCTTCCCTCTGCAACAACATGAACCTGCCTTCCCTCTGCAACAACATGAACCTGCCTTCCCTCTGCAACAACATGAACCTGCCTTCCCTCTGCAACAACATGAACCTGCCTTCCCTCTGCCACAACATCCACTGCCTTCCCTCTGCCACAACATGAACCTGCCTTCCCTCTGCAACAACATGAACCTGCCTTCCTTCTGCCACATGAGCCTGCCTTCCCTCTGCCACAACATGAACCTGCCTACCCTCTGCAACAACATGAGCCTGCCTTCCCTCTGCAACAACATGAGCCTGCCTTCCCTCTGCAACAACATGAGCCTGCCTTCCCTCTGCCACAACATGAACCTGCCTTCCCTCTGCCAACATGAACCTGCCTTCCTTCTGCCACATGAGCCTGCCTTCCCTCTGCAACAACATGAACCTGCCTTCCCTCTGCCACAACATGAGCCTGCCTTCCCTCTGCCACAACATGAGCCTGCCTTCCCTCTGCCACATCCACTGCCTTCCCTATTGTAACCAACTGTAACATGACAAAACTCTATGTTTCACTGGGGTTTAAGTCTTAAAATTAGTGTTATGAATACTGAGACGGGGAAGGAGTGACCGGAAGGAAACAAATCGAGAATACAAAATACAAGTAATAATGTAATTCTTAATAACAAGTAAACCGTTGTTGCACTTTCAAAAGTAGGTCACTGACGGTGCGATTCACATATCATCATCACCCAGTTTAAGTGTCTGATTTTAAAGGCAATCCTAATAACTGGCTCAAATCATGCCACAAACGATGGCAATGAGCAGTGCGAGGCAAGCCGAAACGGACGCTACTGGTTACGTGTTTTTTTGTTTAATAATGGGACGTGGCCGTGTTGAGCTTGAATAAGATTAGCAATTGTAACTGCGTTGTGGAATTCTCAAGAGGAAAATTAATAAAAATAACTGCAATTATATATTACGTGGTGCTAGGTGGTAGGCCTAATTCCAAATTAAAAAGTGGTAATTGTTGAAGACCGCGACGCACCCTCGCAGAGACTAAGTCGAAAAAATGATGTTTTTCTGCATCAAATCCTATGATTTCGTCGATTTTCGGCGTTGTTTCTTTTGCGAATGAATCGTTCAGGAGATCGAGTACCATTTCTCCATCGACGATCTTGATTTGATAGTCCCGTTAGCAGGGGAGGGCATGAAGTATATCAGGGAAATTATGGGGTAAAACAAGCTTACATATGAAGAATAACGATCAAAAATGCGTAAAACTAGCACAAAAAGCGCTTAAAATCGGCCAATGAAACTACGGATTTAACTGCCATCTTTGAAAGTTTACGGACTGACGCGAAATAAATAAAATTAAAAAAAAAACTCTACGGGAACCCAACCCACATTTCGGCAAAACTCTACGGGAATTCACACGTTCCAACCCCCAAAAACGTATTGACCAATAAACCAACCTAATATATCAATATAAATTGCCGTGACTAGGCGTGCCCTTCGGGCACTGCCCGAGGGGAGGGTTGATGGGGGGCAAGCCCCCCAACACCCCCCAGGACACATTCTCTCCACCACGGTATGTACGGCAAGACAGAGCTGCATTCACACCGTAAAATAATAAACCAAATACCTTTATATCCGGAAACGTGAAACTTTCGTTTCTTTGTACTGTTGGGATTGCTTCGATTGCTTCGTCCTTTGGAGCTCTTGATGCGCTCAGATATAAAACTGGGATGGTTACTGAAGTCGAATTATTCTTCGATGCCACTGTAAAGGTCTTAAAAAGAACCCAGAATCAACACAACACTGGAAACGCAACATTTCTCACCGGCTTTCAATCTCGAAATGAGCGGGTTGGTGAGCTGTCAACCTGTGGCTGGCGCAAGAAAGTGTGAAACACTCGATGCGCAGGAT